GTTGCCCACTTGACTTATCTCTTTATCTTTGTGTTAAGAGTTAGTCAAGGCTCTAAAAAAAAAATAGAATCATTTTCAAGGTCCAAAGATATTTTCGTCTAGTAGTAAAGAAGACGTTTCGATTGTTAAGACTAAGACCTAGTTCCAACTTAATAGTCCGGGTAATATGATATGTCTAGGTTAATACATTTTTTTTATAAATTCACACAAGTTTACAGAATTATGTTTGTGTTTAATTGCTCGGCTATTCCGATTTTTGCTAACAAATGGTATAAAAAGATTTATATTCCTTAGTTTTACAAAAAAAAAATGTTAGTTGAATACTTTAGAGTTCATTGTGTAATCATCATGATCATTAAGTTCATTATTCGTCACAAATTGAAAATGATATAATAGACTTGGTAGCATAAGTAGATTTGCGTTTGGTCTACCACAAATGTAGAATTATTCTTCGAGTATACTTTATTCTTTACTTATGACTTGAAGCAAAACCCACTAACTTTCACCGCCCCAATAGAATCCAACACATTGTGATTCAAAGTGGTTGTGTCCAAGTAATTGCAAGCTTGACTAATCTCACACCATTAATTTGGTAAGACTAATTACTTGGGATTTGGTGAGATTAAGTCTCCACAAAATCATTTCATCTGATCAAAAATATTTTCCAAATTTTGGAGGCATTGAAGTGATTTGATGTTGGAATGAAAAATCTAGTGAGTGATTTTGTTTCTTTAGAGTAAAATAGTAAATGAAATCACTTTTTATTAAATGCATTTCCTCTGTCTAAATTTGTGAGCCCATTTGATGCCAACCGTTGGTACAAAGATCCTGAGACTGACTACCTTCACTAATATTCGCCTATAAAAAGAATAAAGCAAAAGCAAACTAAAATCTTCAACCAAAAATAAATACGATTATAAAGTTTAACTAGTTTGGTCTACTCGACTTATAGCTTACTTCACAATCTTGTTGCTGTTGATTGGACAAGCACTCATGCAATGCTTAGAGAAGACTGACTCGGGTTAAAACGACCGGAATACCGGATCTTGGTTTACTTGAGGGAAATTTCCAAATTTGCATGAATTATAGAAAACATATGACTTCGCTAGTAACTAATTTTCAAAAAATATATCAAAAGTAGTTCGTGAATTTTGTTTTTATTTTTGATTTAAAAGTTTCATTAACGATATATGTCTCTTATTATCATCTTTGAAAAACGAGATATTTGAGATTATATTTGGATATCATCTTAAAATGGTATAGAAGCTTTTCTTTGATGCTATTGTTTTGCCATACCTCAATAAAAC